TAACTTGTCTCCAAGTATTTGGTATTTAAAGCTCTTACAATTTTGCCTTGCAGAGTTTGGTGGTTTTGGGTCAGTGAGTGGCAAAATAGAGATAGAAATAAAAATTAACCATGAAGGTGAAGTTAATAGAGCTCGATATATGCCACAGAATCCTTGCGTTATAGCTACTAAAACGCCTACATGTGATGTTTTAGTTTTTGATTACACAAAGCATCCATCCAAACCGGGTAAGTTAAATTATATAATTTTTATATCAGCTGACTATCATACTGCCTTTGTGTATATAGTGCTTTACTCTTTAAAATTTCATATTACAAGATGTCTGCAAATATTCGTATAAAAATCATGATTTAGGGATCTTTAACTGACAAAAAAAAAAACATCGTCTGGCACTGTTTTAACACAATTTTGCACTGAACCTTAAAAGATGTTGTACGTACAAATGTCATCTGCATTTACTCTTCTGCCGTCAAGTCTCTCTCGGCCAATACTTTTGAACAATGTTCCAACAAGCATGGATTTTCTCTCAATATTTCAGAATATTAACTTAAAATTTGAATTATTCAGATCCGAGTGGTGAATGCCATCCAGATCTGCGACTTCGTGGACATCAAAAAGAAGGCTATGGGTTGTCTTGGAACCCTAATTTAAACGGACACCTACTGAGTGCTTCTGATGACCATGTAAGTACGCCTCTGAATGCCGCTACAGATTCATATGGTAATTCAGGACCCGCGGTAATTAAAATTCTTTTGTGATTTTGTCAGGGTCATTTGACAGTTTAATATTTATCGAGATTCATTACTTGCCAAGTTTTTTTTACCTGTGATTTTATCGTTAATATGTATGATTTCATAGTATCATGCTCACTCCAGTCGTGTGTATTCAAAATTATGAAATGTTGTCGACCAGAGTGAGAAGCACAATATCGAACCAAGATGGCGTAATTCATAACTCAATTGACACTCCAATCAATTTGTGAATAATAACTTGATATATTATATGTAAATATTAACGTATTAACATTGCAGCAAAACCATCAGGTTTTGAGTAGACAGTCATTTGTTGTCATTCCTTTCTAGACGATTTGTTTGTGGGATATAAATACTGTTCCAAAGGAGAACCGAGTTATTGATGCTAAGACTATATTTACTGGGCATACTGCTGTTGTGGAAGATGTTTCATGGCATCTCCTTCATGAAAGTCTTTTTGGATCAGTTGCTGATGATCAAAAATTAATGATGTGAGTAGTAAGAAAAAACCAAAGATACATTTGAATGAAGTTTAATATATCGCTACTTTAGGGGGATTCACAGACCAAATTGTTGGTTCAAATTTGTACATAATAAAATAACTGAATATACCTCGCTCATCCAACTTGGCGTCCATGCTTGAATAAGTGCCCACCCCCCACTTTTCGAACCTTTTTAGTTTTGGAACCACGTTCGGCTAAGTACCTATCCTCTACAAAATATCTTTGATTATTTGACATATCAGCTGGCGTGAATGTGTTGTTAATGCATAGACCATGGTCATAGTGCGTAAACTACAATGACCTGTCAACTGTGACACAGGCTTGTTTTGGATACTCGTACGCAAGTATTCCTAGGATACTGCTTGCTGCTCAAATGAAAACAGTAAATCATTTAACCTTTTAAAAATTGCTACCATGATGCTTTCAGGAATTCCCTGAAAATAACACAGAATTCTGTGGTCTAATTGTGCAAAGAAACATCATGGCAGAAATTGCTTTGCATCGTGAGTTTGTGTATGATCAAGCATGCAAGATGAAGATTTTGACTGTTCCCCCGGACCACGGATCATAATTAATATGGCACTTGGTCAACTAAAATTCTCATTTGCATACTTTTTCAAGAGATTCTTGGCTAATCGCTTTTCTCCCTAAAATACATAATATTTTTGAGCCGAGTCCCATGGACACTAAGTCAGACGACTACAGTATATGAACATATAATGCTATACTTTGATATAAGATTGATACACCATTGAGTTGAAACTTATTCTCGGTTGTATGATGATTGCGTTGAGTTTATAACTACTTTCTCAATTTTACCAAATGTTTTAATTCCTGGCCTCTAATAACAATATTTCAAAGTGTTACTTTGATTTAAATAATCCAGAAAATACTTCAGTAGTCCTGGATTTTTCTGAGGATCACTATGTATAACTAGATCTGATCTGAGCTGCAATCAATGCACAAAAGGTATATTGACAAGACTTGCAGGATTATTTCATTGTAAAGTAACTACACTTGTATCAATATAGCAGGTGATTTAGTCAAAGTGTATGAAAACATGGGTGATTAGCCATATACTTGTACCAAAATAGCGTACACACTGAACCCAGCATATAAGAGTTCATTTGATGACGTCTATACTACTACACAAAAAGATATCTCAGTACATGGTCCTTGTCTGTACATATTTTGATGTGTGTCATAGCGTTAGCCCAGGGGGGAGATTATCAGGTTAATGTATTTAGTAGGCTGCCTGCTTAGCACATTTTCATGGTATAATGTTGTAGTTCACTGCTTCCACAAATTACTTTGAACTTGCAAGAAATAATTATGGTAGATGTCATATTTTCATGTTAAAACTCTTCTTCCACACCTGAAAATGGTGAAAGCATAGGCTGCCAACGCCTATTGATAAATTGTTTGTAAACATCGCATACTACTTTCAAGGATAGTTGAAATTTCAATAACTTTTGTCAATAACTTTGCTATTTTGCGTAATCAGATACAACCTCCAACAATAGAATAGACTTACCGCACTCATTTGTGGAGAAAGGAGGACCAGATACACAACTATAGACGATAACTCTCGCATAGTTGAAAATTCATTCGTATTTCTTTTGCAGCTGGGACACGAGGTCTAATAATCCAAACAAACCAAGTCACACTGTGGATGCTCATACTGCAGAGGTGAGAACATACTATGAATACATAATTTAGAGTTTCTGGTAAACATTGTTTTTTGGAAGCTCTAATCAGTGTTTCAGCCAGAGCGCGGGCTTGCGTCATTTGACGCAAAAAAATAAACATTGTCCCTCAAAAATAATGGTTTGGGGTCACAGGGACGCACTGATACCATTATCCGGAAGCCTGGTTGTGAAGCGTTAGTTTTTTTTTATATATATATATAAACATCAGGTTGCACGTGGGAATGTTTTGATTCTGACTTCATTATTGTTTATATTGCCGCACGAGTAAGTGATTTGTATGACAGTTTCGCATTATGCCTTGTCTATTTTGTCTGCTACTATGGCAATGTGGCGACAATCAATTAGGTCTAAAATAAATTGTTGCTATTTTTTCTTTGAGGCCGCGTGCCGAACTGATTGATACAAAGTTTCGTTTCCATGGTGCCTCTGTGGCAGTTCAACATAGTTGGAAGTCGAAACACGTGAACACAGGGGAATTTACATTAACCGTCACTACGTCCATCGTGTCAATCGTCGTAAGAATGTCAAGCCAAAAACGAATCACAAGTTTTTTTGGAGGACATGGTACGGCAGCTACTACGAGTACGGCAGACACTGGTGAAGATGTCAACATCACCGAAACACAAGCTGAATCAAACCAGAGCATACAACACGATGATACGAACGAACCGGTCCACAAGAAACAGAAAGTCCGAAACTTCAGTAATGGGTGGCTGCAAAAACCGCAATATTCAGTGGTTGATCCATCACAATGAGAAAGGAATGATTTGTAAATGGTGTCAAGACACAGGGAAATCGAATTTGTTTGGACACGCGTAGCGGAGGATGCTTCAATTTTCGAACGTCCACTCTGGAGAGACATTTGCAGTGCTCTGATCACAAAAAAGCCATTCAAGAAATTGTTTTACGCCGTAATTTTCAAAAAGACACGTCGCGTGTTCTGAGCGACAAAGAAGAATCAATTATATCGGCAATGCGTAGTGTATATTGGCTTGCAAAGGAAGACATAT